AGGAGAAGTTAGCTGGTTTTGGTGGTTTTTTTTTTTTTTTTTTGTTTGTTTGTTTGTGTTTTTTTGTTGTTGTTGTTTTGGGGATTTTTTTTTGGAGTGAGAAGCAAAGTTTGTGGTTTTGAAAGTATACAATGGTTTTGACCTTATTAAGAGGTTGTGATCTTTTGCAACTGACCTGTGAATAACTGGCATGCTCTTGTGTGCCTTTTTGATATTACTGCAGAATTGCAATGTTTGTCTAATACGTTTGGGTAGTCTGCCTAAATCCCAATTTCAAATTCCAGGGCATATATGAAAGAGTCTCATTTATACTGACATCTTTTTAAATAGCTGTGTTTGGTGTGTATTTTTAAGACCGTATTTTTGATTTACTTTTTTAGGAAACATCAAGTAACAGTGGTCCACCTTCCCCTCCTGTTCCAGATAACTTACAGTCTGTGCCAAGAAGCAATCTGTCTGCTGTCAGTATTAATACTGTGTCTCAGCCACGAGTGCAAAATACAAAGTTTGTTAGAGTACCAAGGCTTCCACGTGCGGTGATCACAGTAAGGAAATACTGGTGCTTTCTACTAATAAGACTGTGAGTTGAAGGTGACCTCACTTCAGGTGAACAGCAAGTTCAGACTTAGGTATTCTAGTGATACGACACAGAAAAGTGGAGCTTCAGTTAAATGTTTGAATTATTAACAACTTAAGTAATCCATATGCTCTTCTGGAAAGAATTTGACACTGAAGCAAGAATTTATAGCTTAGGAGAGCATCAAAACACACCAGCATGCAGTGAACTAAAAGATCGTAAATACAGTTCTCTTACTTTGTTTTCCAGATTAGCACAGACACTGTTGCCAAAGAAGACGTAGTCTTGCTCTTTCTCGTGCTCCTGGCTATCTTTGCTCTTTGTCCTGCTCCCTTCTTTGAAAGTGGGGTCTGGAGCATCAGCGCCACTGCTTAATTATTTAACATGCAAAACTGGTTAGAAAGCTAACCTTATGCAGGAAAAAGTACTTTCCCTCTAGGGGGAGTTGAGTTTTTTCAGTGAGCAGTGTGTGCATCAGTGTTAGCATGTCTGAGTGTGGATGGATGAGAATATTTGTGAGGAGTGGACCAGTGCCTTGTTCTGTCTTCTTGCACCAACATAAACTGAAGATTTCACCTACCTGTCCTACTGTCGTGCAAAAATGATGCAACTCTACTACATTTAGAAGTAGTGAATATGACTCATATTTTAAGAATTGTCCAGAAAGAGAATATAAAAAGGAATTGAATGTGGAAATTGAGTATTTTTCATTTTAACAAGCAGGGTTTTTTTGATAGGGTTAATGTTTTAAAAACCACTTAGAGCTTTGAAGAGGTTCTGTCCTGAGGTAAAGGTTAAATGTATAACTAAAGTTGTCCAGACCTACAGTGGGAGATGTGAGAAGAGCAGTCCTGGAAATGTGAAATAAGTTGGTTTTTTCCAAGCTGTAATTGAGGTTAATCTAAATTGTCTGCTTGTTTCTGCATCTTTCTTTGTGCTGGAATTGGCAGTTATCTGATCTTCAGTGAGTATTTTAAGTTAGTGATTTTGGCAAAAAGTGATTAATTTTGTTTCATCTGTTCTTTACATACTATTGCTGTTCTGCCAATTAAACTGTCTCACTGTAAGGTCAGCTAAGTACAGCTGTGGGACAAGAGGCATCACAACTGTGTAGCAGAGAGATGAGGGAGTTTTGGTACGTCTGCCACATTTCTAATGCAGATTTGATTGATTGTTACCTCTCAGTTATTTGAGAAAATTTCTTGCAAATGACAGATGATAATTTTAATTACAATTGAAATAATTCAACGAGTATAGGAGTTAGAAATTTGAGATTGATATGCTGTGTCCATGGAGATGTAAGTACGCTGCAGATACTTGGGAATAGGTTTGGCACTTTCATCTTAGTGCCAAAAATGCGTACAGTATTACTTTCTTGTAGTGGAGATGTATGAATGCTTATTTCTTTTCTTATGTGGAATTGATGTGCCATAACAAAAGGAGTTAACCTCCTTTTTGTCTTCTAGTAAATATGTCCTCAGTTATACCTGTGCCTCTAACTTTTTCTTCTTTCTATAAAACTTTACATTCTCCCAACAGCTTCCAAAACACAAGTCTGTTGTGGTTACCTTAAATGACTCAGATGATAGTGAGTCTGATGGAGAACCATCTAACTCAACTAGCAGTGTGTTTGGAGGACTAGAATCTATGATAAAGGAAGCAAGGAGAAATGTTGAGGTAAACACTATATCAGCATTTTAATAAGTTTATTTGGTAATGATTTTGCTTTGTAGTTTGGTTAAGAAATACTAGATTACATCAGAAATGGGCAAGAGTGAGTATGTTACTCATGTCTGGACAATTACATTGTAATTTGGATTGCACAAACTAATCAAAATAATTTTTTGTTGGATGGCATCCTGAAGGTAGAATTTTATAATATATTTTGATTTTTTTTTTTTTCAATTAAAATTCAATGCATCCTTAAGCAAAAAGTACGGCCTGAAAGATCTTACTAGCCTTGCACAGTTTTAAGTTTGTGCTGAAATGCCTCTTAAAAATGCTAGTTGGTAGCTGTATTTTAAACCAGTGTGACTGGTATTGACTTGAATCTCATTGTAACAGGCATCAAAAATCAAAGCCCCTCCAAAATCAGAAAAAGAAAATGATCCAATGAGAACTCCAGAGGCTCTACCAGAAGATAAGAAGATAGAATACAGACTTTTAAAAGAAGAGATTGCCAGGTACAACTGAGTTTAATTGTTAGTGTAAAATGTGTATTATTGGTAGCCCTTTACTAGTTTACTTTTGTAATTGGAAGGAAAATCTGAGTTTGAAAACCTTCAGGTTTTTCTCTCATGCAATTTTTAGTAGGTCAACATAGAAGTCTGAAGAAAATCCGTGGTTATGAACTGACTTACAGTAGTTGATTGCAGTTGTGGAAAGTACTTTTTCTTTTAACTTTAAATCTTGTTCTGCTACTCTTTTTGAAGATTTTAAAATTATTGGGAGTATACATCAAAATGAGTGTTGAAGCTACTGAAAATCTTTGCTTTTAACATTTCTGTTTCAGTCGTGAGAAGCAGCGCTTAATTAAGTCTGATCCACTGAGGAACAATTCGTCCCCTGCAAATTCTGATGGTGAAGTTGATGGAATTGGGAGAATAGCAGTAGTGACAAAACAAGTCACAGAAGCAGAAGCAAAGCTGAAGAAAAACAGGTATGTATTACACTGTCATAAGTCCTGCCTTCTTTACTTAGCAGGATGGAAATAGTAAGTAATGTTTTTTAACGTCCAGCATTTAAAGTACAGCAAATGTTCAGTTTCCTGTTGTCTTGAGCTATTCAACCTTTAATTCTATTGCTGTGCAAAAGGAATTGTGTGGTAGTGCCAGTGTGGTGTTTGGTAACTTTTAAGTATGGTTTGTCATTCTGACTGTTTTTAGCTGTGTTCAGTGGTTAGATTATGATCTGTGCCACCTAATAACTATGAAATATGAAAAAATGAGTGTTCTTTTCACAATTGGTACACTTTGAAGTTAGTGAGTTATGCTTGAGATATATATATATAGATATATATATATATATATATGTATATATATATACGCACAAATACATGTGTGTATATATATATATGAATGAGTGTTTCTACGGAATAGGTATGCTGTTTGAATCTTTCCCTGTGTGGCTTTTCTCTTTTAGCATGCCTCTTCCATGTTTCCCACCCTTATTTTAAGTTACTGTGGAAAGTATAAGTGCTTTGCATCCTGTTCTCAGCTTCTCTTACCACTGGATTATTTCTATGTGGTCTTGTGAACAAACTGATTCGTGGTTAGTCATCAATTGAAGGACAGTCTTCTCTCCTCCCTTTATCCACAACCATCTACTCAAGTGTTTTTCTTGCTTCCTTTAATGCATTTAATGCTTTTAGTATTTATCTACTATTGTGGCATAATATTATGGCTTCTAATCTGCTCGTGTGCGTATGTGTCTTAAGGAGGAACTGGGTTGTTACTTAAAAGAAAGCAAGAACATGTGTGTTTTGGATGTCATAACATACATACATACATATATACATTCCTTCCCTTGTCATTGTAACTAGAATGTTTTCATCTGCATTATACTGACATGCTGAACTTGGGATGCTGAAACCTGCTGTGTGTACTAACAGTATTTATTATGGATGTTAAGAAACTTCAGTTCTTGTTTGTTGATGTGTGAGGAGAGTTGTGTTTTTAAATAAGTGGGGTTTCAGAGGAGCAATGATAGCTGTGAGCAGCTCCCCTTTGGAAAAAATCTTATAATATGCCTTTTCTACTTCTAGAATGCTGTTGATGAAGGATGAATCTGTCTTGAAAAATTTATTGCAACAACAGGCCAAGAAGAGAGAGAATGTTCGAATTGCTGAAAATAAAATTAACAAACTGGCTGAACAGCTACAAGCAACAGAGAAGATCTTGAATGCTAATAAGGCATTTCTCAAGAGGCTTCAGGAACATGTAACTTGCACTCTGAAATGTTTCTGTTTCCTAGAGTTGGAAACCTTGATTTTTGGGAAGCCTGATTTTTGGAGGCAGTAGGCTTTCTTAGAATTAACCGTTAATTCCCATGTAGTTATATTATATTTCATTGATTCATCTAATTGTATTTTATTATGTGGTCATATCTGTAAATTTGCACCTTACTGTAGTATTTTGTTTGTTTATTTGATTTTTTAAGATTCATAAAGTTCAGCAGCGAGTTACAGTAAAAAAAGCTCTGGCACTGAAATACGGAGAAGAACTTGCTCGAGCAAAAGCAGTGGCAAGTAAGGAAATTGGGAAACGGAAACTAGAGCAAGATCATCTTGGAGTAAGTCAATGTGCTCTTAAATCAAACTGTACTTGAAAAAGAGTAGCAATTTTGATTAAGAAAATTCAAATGGAATTTCAGGAAAACATTTCAAAAGCACTGCAGGGAATCTTCCTAATCGTTGTGTGCATTTTTGAGGATTCAACAAAAAAGGCATTAATAAGTTGAGAAAGAAAACTGTTCAAAGCCTACATTTCTATGGTAGGGGAATGCTGTGCATAAATAAATAAGAGGAGCTATGTTCCTGTTAAGGAAGGCAGGATGTACTTTACTGTCTGTAGGCATCAATGATTTTGTTAAAACTATCAAGCGAAGTTGCTGAAGAGGGGCTCTGATATTGTTTTGAAAACAAAATGCAGAAAAGCAAGGCTAAAATATTTTTGTAAATTTTTGTGTTTGCACTCCCAACATCACTGTATGTACTTGCTTTATAGCTCACTTTTTAAGTGTGGCCAAAACTTCTGTTTAAGCCTGTACATTATGTAGGCTGACTTTTATCGCAAAACCTGCAAACCTGCCAGTTGAATTGTGACAAACTCTTTTGTGGTTTTTCTGCTGTTTATTGAAGTCTTCAGGCAAGACTTTTTAAAATATGTTTTTATAAATTCTGAATTAAACATTTTGCCTATTTTTTACTTCGTGTCAGTAATCAGTAGATGAGAAAATGAAATAAAAGGAATTTTTTTCTTTTCAGCCAAGCAAAATGTTGAAATTGGAGACCTCCCCTGCATCAAGTCCGAAAAAGCATTCAGCAGAATTGATCGCACTGGAGAAAAAACGACTTCAACAACTAGAGTATGAATATGCTCTTAAAATTCAGAAATTGAAGGAAGCCCGTGCACTTCAAACCAAGGAACAATCAAATGCTACACCTCATGCAGAAGAGGAATCTGAATTTACATTACCTCAGCCATCACTTCATGACCTTACACAGGACAAGTTGACTTTGGACAGTGAAGAAAATTACTTTGATGATGAAGTTCTGTCTAATTCAAACCGAGAACGAAGGAGATCTTTCAGAGAATCTAATTCTTTCACTAAACCAAATCTTAAACACATGGACACTCCAAAGCAAGAAACTATAAACAAAGTTTCTAAAAAGGCTTCAGAGGAGCCTGAGCTCTTCCTTGGGTTGAATATTGATGAACTGAAAAAACTTTATGCTAAAGCTGACAGCTTGAAAGAGCTGCTGCTGACAAGTACTGCCTCTATAGTACCTAAGGAAGATCTGTTGTGTGGTCAGGTAAGTGTTTTACAACTAAACATGAAGCTTGTCTTTATTAGGTGGTGTTGCAACTACTGTTTATCTGTTTATCTGTTTCCTAGGAAATTTCAGTGGACGTGGATTTTCTTACATCTCAAAATAAACAAACTGAAGTGAAACCATTTCCATTTGGACCATATCGTAGTCCTCTTCTAGTATTTAAATCCTACAGGTACAAAGACTGTAGCTCTTTGACTTGTGTCTGTTTTCTTGTTCAAGTATTCATCACTGCTCTTTCCTACATACCCAGGCATGTACAGAAAGACTAGGCGTAGTGACAAACTTGACTATCCTTAAACAATTTTGTCTATTTTATGGAATCTTATGATTTTAGTCACGTTTTTTGGTATATACAAGTCCCTTGTTTTTGTGCAGTATGCTGCTTTTACATTGCATTGCATGCTGCTTGATATAACTAAATTAAAAATAATAGTTAAACATTTGAAAACAGGATTTTTATATCCAATATGAATATGTAAATCCAAGAAGCGTATTTCAGTTATGCTGTCTCTGAACTTGGCTAGGATTTACAATGTCTGAGTCGAGATTTATCCAGTCATCTATTTTTGGATTCCTGCTCAGTGGAAAAAGGCATGAGCCCAGTGATTCATCCTGACTTGACATTAACACCTGCAAGTGTAATCAATTTGGCACATCTGTTTTTTGACTAAAGAGAATTTTGTTCCTACACATCAAATTTGAGAAAACAAAAGTCTGGAATTTACAATGGAGCAGTTGAATCCTACCATATGCTTCAGGTTTTTTATTTCTATGCTCTTAAGTAGAGAAAGATGGAGGATGCCATCTTTACATGAGTATTCTTTTTAACTTCGTGTAGGTTATTACTTCAATTCCTGAAGGAACTAGAAATCCCGAAGTTGACGTAGTCAAACGTTAGCTAAAGATCTCAAATAAGCATTAGTCTGCTCAACTCAGACTGGGTTTTGTTTGCTTACACATTGTAAAATCTGTTCACTGTTTCTTCAGGTTAATCTTTAACAATTCTCTTTACATTTTCATTTGATGTCGATCTTTAGGCTGCCTAGAGCATGAGATTTTCTAGAAACTACTGAAATGCAGTTTCAGTTGTTTGCTTTCCATACTGGGTCATTACTACACTTCCTGTTTTCGTATGAATGAAGTTCTGCACCTAAAGAAGAGAATACTAGGCAGAACTTATTTAGATTGAGAAGTACTGTGGTGTTCTCTTCCTCTTCCACTTTTTCTTTACCTTCTTTTTAACTTGTAGGTTATTGATGCTTTTGGTTAGTAGCATGGTTTTGGAAATAATGAGATTTAATACAGAGAAACTGAGCTTTGATTATTTTTTTTTGGAGAACTGATGTCTTGCCTTGTACACTTCATCATAATAATGTGCTCTTTCATTTTAGGTTTAGTCCGTATTTTCGAACCAAGGAAAAACTGTACCTCAGTTCAATAACGTATAGCAATATGATTGAGCCAAAACAGTGTTTCTGCCGTTTTGATTTAACAGGCACATGTAATGATGATGACTGTCAGTGGTGAGTTCTCTTTAATTTTCTTAATTTCAACTATACTTCTCTTCTTGATTTCTGACTGTCTGAAATAAGCATGGTTTTCATTTCTTTAAAAGGTCTGGATATATGATCATATGCGCGAGTTCTGGGCAAGGTTATTTTTTGATACCCTATTGCAGATACTTAGTTGGAAGGGAAAAAAACCCCTTTTATCTAAGCCATGAAGAAAAAGGAGGCTCTTTAGATGTATATTTAGAAAAGTAGTATGGCCTATTAAAGAATATTTCATCTTTTGGTTACCTGGTAATTCAGATGGGACTGGTCTCACTTCATAGCTTCGTAACTTCAGGCTATCATAGAACCTTAGGAAGTGGTTGATACTGTTAAGCACATGTCACATGAGCACAAGCTCACCGGAAGGAAAGAGAGCGAAGGCCTCTCCTCCTCTCCTCCTCTCTTCTTATAATCTGACTTATGTAAAAATTGTAGGGAATACTGGGTAAATCTGGACCCTTCCTTGGTTACAAACTGGTCACCAAGGAAGGCCTAGCCCAAACCACCACAGCACACTAGAGAAGAAAAGCATACACCAAATACATAATTAAAAAAACAATACTATTGTAGTAGAGTAATTCTAGTTTTCTGGGAAAATACTGGCTAAATTTGTTTCTTGGGAGACTGGAATTAAATTGTATTTTAAAAATCACTTGTTTAACAGTGTTGTGCACTTAAAAATGGATATGAATTGGTTAGGATTAAACTCAATTTGGAAACTTATAATTGCTGGAAAAATATAATAGGAGTGAACTTTAGCTCTTCTGGATCAGCTTTTAGCTGTTGTCATCAAACCATCATTTGATTCTTCTAAATAAAAAGTGATATCTAATTCTTGTAACTACCTTATTTGAACTGTGAAGTTCTACATACTGTGGTTTTGTGTTATTGCAAAATGAGTGTATAGACATGTATTTTAAAGAGTAAATGAAATAATGGGGACTAGGATTAAGTTCCTGATGCAGACTTAAGTTTAGAGAAGGCCTAGATATATTTGACCAAAATGTCAAAGCAAGCTGTAGTGTTTTCTGTGGGTATCATTTTCTTTATGCCTCACCCAACTGTGCACTAAAACAAACTTTCTTAATAATTTGTTGCTGTGATTAATGTATTAATTGCTTATTTGTTTATTTTAGGCAGCACATGAAAGATTGCACTCTCAACCGCAAGCAGCTGTTTCAGGATATTCTGTCTTACAATTTAGAACTGATTGGCTGCTCAGAAAAAAGCACCGATGAGGAGATCAGCACTGCCACAGGTTTTTAAGAGTCTTTTGTTCACTTTGGTATCCAAAGATTCGCTTCTGAAGGAAATGGCTTTCATTAAAAGCCCTGAGCACAAGGATTTTGATGTGAAGCAATATATAAGTTACAACTATGTGAAACAGTAGGTTTCTTCAGTTGTCCAGTTCAGTCCTTTGTAGTGGTTAATTAACCTTGGTGTCTTTGCAAAAAGAAAAGAAATCATTGATCTGAGGAATATTTCACTCAATAAAGTGTTGCTGAGATTGAGGGGACTGGGGAGGAATGAGCATGGAATCTTTCCCTCTTTCCTTCCTCAGTTTTGTAACTATTGGACTGATCTGTTTCAGTGGAGCTGGAATTTCATAACATAACTTGCCATATAGGCAAGTTGCCAAAGAGAACTTAGTTATTTTTTCATTTCTTTGTGCTAATGTGTTAAATTACCATACCTCTTGAAGCAGTCACATTTTATGAATTTAGCATATATTGTGCTGAATTGCGGTTAAGTTACTTGAATGTTTTCATTTATAGATTTACCTAAGCTACAAATATTCTTGTTTCAGAAAAATATGTTGAAAAACTTTTTGGTATAAACAGAGACCGTATGTCAGTGGATCAGATGGCTGTTCTTCTGGCCAGCAATGTCAATGAGAGTAAAAGTCACAGTAAGTAACTTGGTAGATGAAATACAATATATATAAACTTCATAAAACTATGTAAGTACCTTGGTGATTTGGTAAACCTAGAATATTTTTTTGTTGCTTATTTTACCTCAGTATTATAAATACTGATTGTGGTAAGTTAAAGGCAGCAGAGTTTGTTTTAAGGCAATAATGTAATAGTTTTGGAGTGCAATTTGTAGAAATCACTTATGCCTTTGATCACAATAAATTTTAAATAAGTAGTATTGAAATGTATACACTTGTGTTGTACTCATAGAATCTTTTTATCTAAAATCTAAATCTAAAACCATTTTATTCTTGAATACAGAAAAGGAAAAGAATTTCTATTACTTTGTTTACAGCACCTCCACATACAACATGGAAAGAGAAAAGGAAGTGGAGGCCAAAGTACTGGAGAAAACCCCTGTTAGATAGTAGCAGCAGTGAAGAGGAGCAGTTTGTTGGACCTATTAAATATGGTAATCTGGATGTGTGGCTTGAATGAAAAAGAGCACTGAAGGAAAATACCTATCAACCTCTTCCAAACACCTGATTTTCTTAAGTAGTTCTTGAAAAAACTAGTGATTTTAATAGCTCTCTTGGCTTTATACTTCCTGCATGCAAATTTTATTTTCCATATGTTTTTGGGTAAAGTTTGATATAAGTCTGTTGTATTTATACCAGATTCTTTTTCCTGTAATATGTGACTGGAAATAAAGGTGGATTTTCTAATTACCTGTTATTAAAGGAGCATAAGGAACTAATTCCCTAGAATGTTTCAGCCTTGTCCGTGTATCATTAGGATTTTCTTAAATTTTTATTCCACCCCGAACCCGTAAGATTATCTCATGTGTTTAGTTACCTTAAATTCTTACAGAGTTACAATTTGGTGTGAGGTCAGCAGTTAAAAAAGTGCTGGTAAGCAGCATTTGAGACTTGGAAGCTTGCTAGAGTGTCAGTAACATGACAGTGTTTCACATGTGACTCATGCAAGTAGGAGCTTTTGGATTCGTTAGCAAATCCTCTACAAAGGATTTTTAGAGACTCAGAATTTTTCTTTGTCAAATGGGTCTAGTTCCTAATGCTGCCTAAATAACTGGCTTAGTTGATGTCTCTTGATCAAGTCAGCCTTTTAGGGCTATTTATTTTTTTCTTCACATTTGAAATATAACCAGTTCTCAACAAACAGCATGGTTTTAAGTTTTAAAGGATGTTGAAATAACCATATTTTGCTCTGGTCAGTAGCTCTGTTAGAAATATATAAATGCACCTCTTGTGTGAGTTCTGATCTTACAGGTCACTTCTGTTTCGAAAATAAACTTTTTTTTTTTTTTAATATTTTTTGCAGCACATCCCACAGAACATAAAAAAAGAGTTCCCGTGCTTGATGCCGTGGTCACTCCAGATGATGTCCGGTATTTTACAAGTGAGACTGATGACATTTCCAACTTGGAAGCAAGTGTCCAAGAAAACCCCTGTGATGTACAGCTTTGGATTAAACTTGCATATAAATACTTGAATCAAAATGAAGGGTATGTCTCCTGCATTTTAGATTGGATTTTAGACACTTGCTGCATTTAGGTTTGATTCAACCATGCTGCTATGATCAAGTTTCCTTTTTGATATTAAAGAATTTTCTTTAACAGCACCACAAATAATTTATTACTTAAGAGCAGATTAAAAAATAGATTAGATCAGATTTCCTGCTGTACATAGTATTGCATATGAGTAATAAATTGCACTGATGGTTTATCTTTGGGTGGATTCTGATTCAGAATGGAAGGTGATGGAAAGCAGTGTGGGAGAAATAATTGTTCATGTTTGAAAAGTGCACAACTTAATGTGTTTTAAGATTACAGTGGAATGTTGTACTTCCAGTGGTCAAGTTAGTGGACCGATAAACTCAAATCAGTTACTCCTCTACTACAGAGTGAATGGTTGGAATAATGTTTGAAATTACTTTCATCAGAAAGCTTTCTTATAAGGACAGTTCTGCTAGGTGGTTTTATCCCTGCAGAAATGGCCCAGTTGAGTTCTCAGTTTCTTATTTTATATTTTTTAACTTTTGGATTTCTAAATTCTATAGCTTCTCTTCCTTAAAATTATACTGCACGGTACCACGTTTTTGTTGGCAAGTCACATCATTTCAGTGGGAATTCTGTCACGATGGTTTCATCCATCATGACGATTGACTTCAGTTTTAATAATGAGGTACTGACTTAAGCAACTGCAACAGAGAATGGAGAGGAGCAGCTCTGCTTTACAAGCCTCGTTTAAACTGTAGATAATGGAAAAGGTAGCAAAAAATCAGTTTAGCTGTATCAGTACGTGCCTGAACAATAGAAGGGATAGAACTGGAAAGGCTGGTACTCAAAGGAAAATACTACCAGCAAGTGGCAGTGTAGGAAGAGCACACTTATATTTAAGTGTTCTTGGGAAAAGATCAAGAAAAGAAGGGAGAAAAGCTAATGGAAAACAATGCATCCTTTTCTTTAAACAGCCACCTCCTCTCTCAGTACTCTGAAGAAATTTGAGTGGTGTGGTAGGTGAAAGTCGTGATAGAAGGGGTTGGGAAAGCTTCAGACTTATGGTTAATTCTATTACTTTTATTTTGAGACTTCTTTTCCTCTCTGTCTATGCAAAATAATTTTTAAAGATGTTTTCATAATAAATGTGGCCTCAGAAGCATTCTGTGGTTTTATGCAAGTTTGTCTATGAATTAAAGCTCAGCTTTGTGGTTTGCAGTATAGTCGGTTATTTGAACAAATATTACTTTGTGGGTATCATCTCATGATAGTTATCTCAGAAAGTAAAATTTCATTTTTTTAAATGGTTTAGAGACAGAGAACCTGTATGACATGCTTATGTTTAATGACTGTAGAAAGTAAATACGTAAAAAAATATAATAACTTACTTTACTATACCTTTGAAATTCCTACTGAAGTTCTTAAGCCTGTGCAATGTAAATGCCTTTATATGCTTGCAGCTTGAGAACTTTGCTTACAGATGAATCTTACCCATTTTCATTAAACTGGACTCTTATTTGAATTGGCACTCGTTTCCTGTTTCTCTCGTATTTCTGTGCACTGTGATAATTGCACGTAATAACCTTTGAAGGGTGAAAACCTACTGAAACTGATAGTAAAGGACAACACATTTAAAAAAAAGGATGGCTAAGTGTGTATGACTTCCACTCTAATTCAAAGTGTTCATTTTCATATTTGATATTGTGTAAGTCATTATACCAACACAGGTGATGTGAGTGCTTTTCTTTTTAACTTCTACAGCTCATCATCTGAGTGTTTAGATTCTACTTTAAATGTTTTGGCTCGAGCCCTTGAGAACAACAAAGAAAATCCTGAAATTTGGTGTCATTACCTCAGACTTTTCTCAAAAAGAGGAACCAAGGAGGAGATACAGGAAATGTGTGAAACAGCAGTGGAATATGCTCCTTCTTATCAAATCTGGTGGACAGTAAGTAAAAAAAAAAAAGCGTATGTGAAATGTTCCTGTAAGTGTGCGTTTTCTACTCTAGAAAGCCAGTACATATGACAGGGAAAGTGTGAAATGAGAAGCACTGTAGCTTTTTGAAAACTCAGAAGTTGCTCAGAAAATGAAGCGACTCAAGTTCTGCTTGCAGGTTATTTGTAGAAATCATCACTTTTCCTCAGGTAATAAAAGTTATTTCAAATCAAGATGTTTTGTTGCTTATTTTTTGTTTCTTAGGCTTTGCAAAAATTGGCTATTAGTTCTTACATGTATTAAAAGTGGTATATTTTGAGGTTTAATGTGAAAATTTGGTGTGAGGGAGGGAAATACAGTTCATAAGGTAGTGAAAGACACTATTCAAAATCTTTGATTTCTGTGATTTTTAAACATTGACTTATAAGCTTTACTTGTATTCTGATTGTTATTATTAATGTGACTTATTTCTCTCTAGTTTTTGAATTTGGAGAATTCCTTTGATGGAAAAGACTATGTATGTGGGAGGATGTTACAGTTCCTAATGGATGTGACGAGGAGAGGAGAAAATCCAAATCTTGTGTCCTTTCAGCTGCTGGAGACTCTCCTCTACAGGGTTCACTTAAGCCTGTTTACAGGAAGACATCAGAATGCTCTTATTCTGCTGCAGGTAACTCCTGAGTTACACCCCAGGAGTGTCTTCATACCTTCACCTTTTTAATGCCTATGACTCTGATAGTTTCAACTTCAGAAGAATTGTTTCTTCCACTGGAATTCCTTCAGCAAATAGAGGATTCTGTTTTGAGATATGATGCCATTGTAAAATCTGGATATACCTTTAGGGTTTTTATCTGTTTTGCCTTGTTTGTGTAGCTAATAGCCTAGACCACTATGTTTCAAAATAATTCCTAGGGACATGCTGTATTTCCTGACTTCCAGTAAGTCATTGAGCAGTTTTTGCAGTGAAAGCCCTGTTGAGTAATGTATTGCCTCAGGTATTCAAAATTACTACAGAAATTATCAAACCAGTAGTTCTTGGGAAAAAGCATAGTATGATATTATCTAACAGTATTGCCCTGCTCTCAAATCTGGAGACTGTTTAAATCAGATTTTATTGCTCTCATGAGCTCCAAAGTCACTGAGTTACCTCAGCCTAAAACTGTGACTGTAGAAAGAATTTAGGTGACTTGTTATTTTTGTGTAGGTGATAAAAGTGGTGGCTGAGGGTGAGATGGAGTGCTGACATCATCCTCTCCCCAAAGTGGGAGCTGCTGTCCTTTCAGTTGCAGGTTTTTATTCCTCCCAGCAGGTGATGCCTGTTGTTTGCTGCAGCCTGACATGTTACTCGAGGTTTGAGGCCTTCACAGTTTGGTCTGGCTCCAGCTGGAATGGGAAGGTGCAATGCTATGATGGCTTCCCCCAAATGTACTGAGAAATGTAATTCTGAATTACCAAAAAGAACAGAGGGAGAAGAAACTCTCTGTCAAATTGAGATGCAAATCCGGAGTATATGGGAGAATAACACAGATTGGTTTCCCTTTACCTTTCTGCAAAGCATAACCACAAAGCCAAAGACTTTTTCGACACTTTCTGTTTCTTTTAATATTAATCTGGAATGTGTAGTTGAAAAGAATGTCTTGAGAAGTGATTATTTAACCATATTTAAGTAGCTGCTACTTCAGAGTAAATAGCAGTGTGTCTCTTTAGAAGACTTGAAAGCAATTTTTTTTGAAGTAAATATTTTCAAGAGTGAATAAGTGAAGTTGTTTTGAAACATCAGTTTTCATCTATTTCAGGATGTGTGTCCTGCTGAATTTTGTATAAATTTACAAGTACATTCATTCCCTTGAAAGTGCACTCTTTGACCATACTACCTTTTGCCCAAAAAATATTGGCACATCACTACTCATGAGATTCTGTTCTGTTTCAGGAACAGTTTGTGTTTAGACTTTATCTAATTGCTTGCGCCAGTTGTTTTATGTGGGATCTGCTGATTTAACTGGACTATTCTATCTTTGTGTATAATTAGTTGAAAAATTTGAAACACTATCCTTGTTCTTAGTAAAGTTTCCAAGACATTTTTTAAAACAGTATGTCTAGCGGTGGTGGTCGCTTCAGTTGATTTTTTGACTAGCTGTCGCTTAGTAGCTTTATAGCTAGACCTTAATAAAGAAAAACCCCAAACTAACCAACAACCCCAAACCCACAAAACCTAGTAGGATGTATTAAGCTGAATCCAGCTTGTAGATGAATTGTCTCTAGAGCTAATGTATTACTTCTGTGGAACTGGAAGTAACTGGAGAATTAATCAGAAAAATGGAACACGTTGGGAGATGCATGTTTTCAAAGTGTCTCTCTTTCCAAAGTAACAACCTTCTGCATTTTTTCTGAACCTATTCCTAGAAATCATCCATATGATTTGCATAGTCATGCATTCACATAAACTGAATATGATGATGATTGATGTAAAGAATTAGTTCCTGTCCTTTCTGTGGAAAAGATTTGAGAATATTGAAACTCACTCTTCCTGTTTCTTTTTCTGTTCTTAAATCTTAAATGTAATGTATTTCTTTTAACCTTTACAGAATGCTTTAAAATCAGCAAATGAAAAGATGATATCAGAACACCTTACTGTAAGTGACCGTTGCTTGGCTTGGCTGGCTTACATACATTTAATTGAATTTGGTATTCTCCCAGTCAAGTTCTATGATCCAGCAAATGTCAGTCCTTCAAGGATTGTGCACAAAGAGCCATTTTTAATACCATGGCAAACAGTTCAAGATGTGAAGACTGATCCTGATGTACTGTTAGCTATGTTTGAAGGTAAGCTTAAGGAGGTAAACTACTTCATACATGTTTTAAATCAAGAAATATTATCCAACTTCTAGAATTTCAAGGCAGTGCAATATTGCTGATGACTCCGTTGAGCCATTGGATTAATCCAGTGAATATTTAATTTTGATTTGAATGGAGCAGTGAGGAAACTCCACGTTCTCGTGTCCTTAACAAACGCACTGCTTTTTTTGTCTGTGGTTCGAAGCCACAGCCTTATCTTGATAGAATATGATGGTTCAGAGAAAAAGACCAGTCAGTGGCTTGTGACTGCTAGTTTTCTTGGGCTTAAGCAAGCATAAAGCCAAGCTTCTGTCGTCATTCTTTCTTACCCTTTCTCCTTTTAACAGGATGTGTTTATTGCGAAGTTATTTTCCTGGAATGTTGTTAGTGTATTTCCTTAAACACACGCATTTCTCTGCCTCTTTTATCTCAATTCAGAGTTTAAATAGGGGGTTTTTTTTAAGATGTAAAATGAAGATATTAGAAGAAATTGAGTTCTTGATTTGTGTTGCTGCCAGAGGTAGACTTTATAGTAGCAGACAAATGCTATTATGTAGCATTTATAGATGTCAGTACTTAGTGTGTTAGCCAGCAGCAGTATTGAGTTGCCACTGAGAATATGCTGCAGGTGGTAATGCAGTGTGGAAATACTCAAGGACCAATGGAGTAACCCAGCTGTGGGAGTAAAGGCAGTGTAACCATGATAATGGGGATAACTATGATACAGAGAAGAAAAATAATATCCTATATTAGCTTTTGTCTCAATAGCTTTCAGCAGCTACGCTGGAAATCCTGGGATGTGATTTTAAATATAGTGATATGCTTCTGTCTGTAATATTGTTCTAGTGTTTCATTGGTAGGAAATTGTTTTTAAAATGAATAAGAGATGAAACTGAAAGATTTTTGTCCTTGCAACATGGTGATAAGTGTAAAGACAGCTTTTCTAAAGATTGTCTTTTTCTAATAATTTGCAAAAGCAGCACTCTCAGTAATATCTTTTCACACTTACGTATTTTCATTATGTTAAAGGAGACTTTTTTCATGTTAAAGCTTCAAATAACTTCGATGTTGCGTGAGGTCTAAAGGCTTCGTTTTTACTTTTCTTTTAAAGATGCGGTCAAAACATGTACCGATGAAAGCCTTGAGGCTGACAAAAGAATAGCTGTCTGCTTTCCTCTCTACAGAAACATGATAGCTTTGCTGAAACTTCTTGAAAGGTAAGTTGTTTCAAGATGTTTTTGACTGGAGTACTCAGCTGTTTTTTTGAAAATTTATCTTTACTTTTCTTTAAGGTGGGAGTCTGCTGCAGAACTTTGCAGGTCTTTGTTGGAGCTCTGTCCTAGCAACTGTCAGCTCTTGGAGAGTTTGGCCACCTTGTATTTGCAGATGGAGCAGAGTGACAGTGCCTACAAGGTGTGGATTGGAGCTTTTGAGAAAAATCCTCAGAATGCAGAAATTTTTTATCGGTTGTGTAAATTTCTTGTTTCACAGGTAATACTCTACTCCAAAACTAATTTGTTGGTCTGCTAGATTTATTAAATTCAGATTTTGTGTGTTGTTTGAAATACTCATCAAATGGATTAATCTTAATTATATTTTTGTAATATCTAGTGCTCCTTTATGTAGATGGGAAAAGTATAATTGGGAAGATAAGTGAAATGATAAAAGATAATAATAGAAATTATATAAAATCATAAATTTATAGTTTAGATTGTTCTAATTCAGTGTTAATATCCTTAAGCAAGAATAACAGAAAGTAAAAATAGAACCTGTAATATTTTTTCAGCTTTTTTCTGCTGCCTGCTGAGTGACCCAGTTTGACTTCATTCTTGACAGAATGAAAACAATGGAGCATTGCAGAGATAGGCACGCCACTTGTTATTTATTTTGGTTAAGTTGTTCTTACCATTTTCAGATTGATGTCTGTTTTTATATTTTTTTTATTTAAAACCCAAACAACAAAACAGGAAAGATCAAGCAGTATTCTTCCACTGTTGCAAGACTTTGTGGCAGCTTTCTTTGAGAATACATGCCAACAGCATGGTCCCATGGATCTCTTAAGGTACATTTAGAGTATTTTTTAAATTTAAATTTTGGCAATATTGGCATTTTCTTGAATAAGAAGGTAGTCTAGAACTTTTAAACTCTTCTGTTTTTTAGCTTGGCATGATTTGCCAAAACTTCAGTGAATGATGATTTGGTAGTTCATAAGGTTTATACTTGTTTTTGCATTGACACTAATTTGTAAACCTATGAGCATTTAAAGATAAAATAGCAAGCAAGTTAAATGTCTGGATTTGGGCAATGAAAATCAATCATATATATGTGAAAGTTGGTTTTGGTTCCCCCCACCCACCCACCCTTAAAGCTGGGAACCTAAAATTGCATATCTAAAACACTCTATTTAGGCACTTGCAAAAGAGCTCAGTCCAGAGGTTCAGCATGCTATTAATCAGATTATTATTGATGAAAAGACCCAGGTTTGATATGTAGCCTGATGATTTTCCACTTGAATTTTAGCACCTAATTGAGAGACTTACTGAAGTTTTGAAATATGCAAGTTTCTTATGATCAAAGTAGATGCTTCTGAAGGCCTTCAAAGCAAAAACCTTTTGTGCTAAAGCTTAGGCAGCTGAGGTTTTGTAATGTCTAAGTTAGGTATTATATTTTATTCCTGCTTGCATTTGTTTACATGAAATTTAGTACTGGTAAAGTAGTCTAGTTGATTGTATGTAGGCAATTCTGCCGTAATGTATTTTACTTGGGCCAGGGAAAGTCTCAGATAAAAGTCAACATTTAATTCTGTACATAATAAGGGAGTAAATGCCTTCTATATTAACTATTTCTATATTTCTATGTAATGCTTTCTGTATAAATTGTATCTAGTTAGAATTAAACTAAAGCTAGGAAAAGTGTGTATTTTTTAATATTTTTCATGAACTGGACTTTTGAACTGATTGTTACATCTACATAGCAGTTTTCTCTGTAGGATGATATTCTCATTTACTACTACTTTTTTCTCTTGTAGATATCTCTTGAATTTTCCAATGCCAATTGAATTTACATCACCCCTCTATAAAGAACATCTTACGGATGATGTTATTAACCAGCAAATCCCATATCTGTGGCAGATATACTGGTGAGATTTTTGTAAAGAATTTCTGAGAAACAGCTCTTGGGTCTGAGTAAATTCCATTTTCAAAAAGCAGAGTATTTATTATTTGCCTAAGGGTGTATCACTTTGGGTTCTTTCCGTAAAGGATCTGCCAGTCCTTAGAAAACCTACCAGCCTGCTTCACAATGGAGATAATTTTATGAAACTGAATTGCATGTCAAATTCTACTCTTGAGAAATCTTTCAGAAATTCTGACCTATGAAAACAGTAATAGGTGTGTTCATCTCAAAATGATTTTTTTTGTTTACTTTTGTTTTAGGTTGCTACTGCTAGTAGTGTTGTTCTTTTTCCTGGCTTTCAGTTGTCTCCCTATTATTTTACAGTAGTTTCCCCATTCTGTTTAGTCCTGGTCTCCCCACCTTCCTTGACCCGCTTTTTCAGCTCTTCATGGAGAAAAACCCCTCCACAGTAAACTGACCTGATCTTCTGCAAGAGATTGCAGAGGAACACATCTTTGTCATGTATACACAATCTTCTTTTTTCAGTTCTTCCTTTTGATAGCAGCAGTATACAGGATTGCCAGACACCAAAGTACTAGCCATCTATAACTTATACTAGTTACATAACTATGATTACTGAAGTGTTGGCTTAGGCTGTTTAACAAGTTTACGACTTCGTGGTCTCAGTTTGTCAGTCTTCAGAAGTAGTTATTTGGCTTTTAAGATATGTAAAAGATGATAATGCTTCACATACTGATTGAGGACTCCTCAGAACTTCTTCACCACTCTTGTTTATAGTTTTTAATTGGTAGACAGTGTACAGGTAAAATCTATGGTTTTCAAGTAAACTTAATCTAAACCTTATATAAAGGTTATCTTAATGTTTTCTTTTTGTATTGTCCATTAATACCAACTGAAATGCCTTTTTTTTTTTTAACAGAAAGTACCTCTTCACAAAGTCAGTTTTGGGTTTGGCACTTATACAGTAGAAGCGTTGTTACTAAGACACTTGAGGTCACTCTTTAGTCATAAGGGACCTTGTCTTAAGCTCAGGTGCTCCTGTATTTTAGCACCTGCTTCTAAGAAGGGAAATTAGTGCTCTTGTATTAAATGCCTAAATTACTTTCAGAGTGTCTCTCTTTCAGTTTTGCTACAGTAAGTGTCTAGGTATCTGGGCCTGCATAGCTGTCCTTTCTTTCTTCAGGTACAGAGGACAAAACACGTAAAAGTTCACTTTTAGCAACATAAAATAGGTTGAAATCAGCAAAGCCTCAAAGCTCATGTAAGAGTGTTTTACTTGGGGAGATCACAGTGTGTGTACGTGTGTGTGTGCACAAATGTATACACTCGCTTTTTTAGAAAGAGTAGCAATTGGTGATTTAGTGCGTAGTTCTTGGGGAAAACAAGTTGAAGCAGCCACTCTGATTATATGACCCTAGTCAGGAGGGTTCTGTAGCAAGGTAGCAACATCAACCCTATCTTTGTATTTCTGTAATCTCTTTCATGAGGTTGTTAGTTTTTTGTTTTTTTTTTTTTTTTCTCCTCATGACTTAGTGAAAGTCTTACCTTTTTACCACTGTAATTTTACACTTTGAAATAAGGATTGTTCACCACGTCTTGATCAAAGAATGTGTCTACTTCTGTTTTTGGTGAGGTACTGTATGTTGGTCTTACTGTATGTTTTTTTGAGAAGCTGTTGAACAAAATTAAGGTTTTTTTTTTTTTTTTTACTTTTCTTATCAAGTTTCCTTTTTTTCCTGACATGATCAGGGTGTTTCTGCCCCAGATCCTGGTAATACTTGTTTCAGAACACTAATTTTATTGCCACAGTCTGATACTATTTCTCAAGTGGCTTTAATCTGACTTTGAAATGTATTGTTCTGGAGCTCAAACAGAAACTCAAGACTTGTCTCCATTCTGTGGCAGTTAGAGCATTCATATTAGAAGGATTAGTAAAAAGGTACTTTACAGGAATAGAAGATAATTCCTAAGATTTAATTTGTTTTTTAAGGGTTGCATTTTAAACTGCATGTTTGCTTTATTATTCCTTGTTACCTGCTTTTGAGACTTACCCATTTTAATAAATTGACTGATAAATTAGTCCATGATACTGCTAAACTGAAAACACTGTTTTTTCTTGCATCTGAGGATGGGAAATTCTTCATTGTGTCTTAGTCTTAGTGTGCAATAACATGTATTGTTTGTGACATACAACACTTTATCTTTTTATGTAAACAGTTTGTGCCAGTCTATTCATGCGAGTGTCGGTGAAGCACTGGATGCTTATGAAGCAGCTCTGGGGGCAGTGATGCAACAGGAAACTGTTCAGAACATTTGGTTAGAGTAAGTTCGTAAGGGAAGAAAGTCAATTAATCTCAACTATTAAGTGAAGGCTACCAGAACCATCTATTTTTTTTTTCTTTTTTCTTCCAGTTACCTTGTTTTTATCAATAGCAAAGTTGTTGGATCCAACAACAAAGTTCAAGAATTCAAGCTTTTTACTGATCTAGTGAACAGATGTCTGGTGACAGTCCCCACACGATTTCCAATTCCGTTTAGTACTGCTGATTATTGGACCAATTATGAGTTTCATAATAAGGTAAAAATGCATCTGTGGACAGTTTAAACTAAACAAAGAGGCTGATGACCTGTTAGCAGGTACCTGTAATCTACTTGTTCAAATACAGCACCAGTAATATATGAAGACTGTGAAAGCTAGGAGTTACTAGGAAAAGAAGCAACAGTCTGAGGGTAGTAGCGGTTTGAGCAGAAGAGTATCTAGCAGCAACCTTTTGAATAAAGGGTGTGTAAGGCGAAGAGAAACTTTATGCCATGTTGTAACACTGTGAATAGAGCTGTTAATGACAAATTATTTTTTTCTAGAGAGAAGAGAAAATGTATAAGGGAGGGCAGATATGGCTGAGCACAAGTGGTCTGCAGAGCTATAATACTGGCAGATGGAAACAGTATTTCTGCTGTCATTTTTTTCTTGAAAAGTACAGTCGTTGAGAAACAGAAGGAGTAAAGTTATGAGTAAAAACAAGTTGAGCAATTACCCAAACAGACTAAAGCTTATAGAAATCCTGGATCCCATTTTGCTAACATGCAGTGCATTTCTCTTAGCTCACTAAATGCAGGCTGGAGGGACTAATATGTGGTGCTTGCAACTTGAGACTAACTTTTTATTGTACAAATTGATTTCTGTACCCATGAATGATAAGGTTTGAAGGTGGCAATTCCCTTTAGTCATAGTGTTCATAGTTTGTCATTCCATTATTCTTAGCAAAGTAAGAGCTATAAAGTGGATTAATGTTTATAATTCAAATTCTACAGGTAATTCTTTTTTATTTGAGCTGCATTCCAAAATCTCAGCATTCCAAAACCTTGGAACGGTTTTGTTCTACCATGCCTACTAATCCTGGACTTGCACTGAGGTATGTAAAAATACTTATAATCAAGACCAACAGACTGTTAACATAACTACTGTTTTTTGTGTAAGGTGTGCATGATTTGCTTTCTACCATGGAAGTAAAACTCTTCCTCTATTATTGCATGTTGCTTGAGGCATATTGTGCCTTCTGACATCATCTCAATCTTGTATTTGACAAGGTTCTATTCTATCTACAGACAGGTTATAATTATACAGGAATTAGCTCTGCATTGTACATGATCAGTGAAAGTGGTCAAAATTTCAAGTGTGTAGAGAAATGTCAGATATATGTTAAAATCTTGTTGTTACTTGTTGATCTATTACAAGTACAATTCTGGCATAGAACTAACAAAAATGGATAGACCAGTCTATAACAGTGCACCTTAAGCACTTAAATTGATATTTATTTAGCAAAGAGAAACCAATATTTTAAAAAAAAATCTTACGGGGAAAAAGAACCAGTAAATGTAAGCATTGCACTGGTTCTTACTTGAACAGTATTTCAAAATGCGCTCTTCTAGGATTAGGGAGTCCATGTTTTACTGTATTCAGGTGCAGTGAATGCATGAGTATTTGAGTAGTTGTGAAAAGTCCCGAAACACTGTTCATCATCAACAATGACCCCAAAGAACTCAAAGCAAGACTTGAAATGAGCGTGTGTGGTTGTGGGCGTGGGGAGAGTATACCTGCCTTTGGCACATGAAGTTGAATGACTTAATTTTAAACCAAGTTGCGATTCTGTCTAGATGGAACTTGCAGCTCCCTTAAACAATGTTGATACTGCATGAAATGGGTGAGCAGAACTGACTAAACAGTACTTCTAGCCACATGACTGTAAAACTAATTTACCTCCTTTCAAATGTGCAGTTATTTTGTGCATGCTAAAAGTGGATTTGTATTCCACTTGTAATCTTGTAATGTGCCAAGATCATATTTTCTCTCTGATTTCGTACTTCTTAGTTATTCTCTGAAAGTGTATTTTAACATTTTTGTTTTGTTTTGTTCTGAGAGCATGATCAGTTAATATTGTATATGGTGGCTTGGGTTTTTTCCTACTTGCAATTCTCAGCTCAGATTAGGTATAATAGATTTTGTATAGTGTGTTTGTATCTTTGGACAGCTTTTATGGTCCAAGTGATTAGAGCAGTGTTCCTTTCTCATGAATACCTTTTACAGACTGCTTCTGCAATACTGGGAGGAGAGCAATGTTCAAATTCTGAAACTGCAAGCCAAGATGTTTACATATAATATCCCAACATGCCTGGCCATCTGGAAAATGTAATGCAACAATCATACATCTGTTTTCATAGATATTGCTTTTGTTTATAAGGTTTACATCACAAAGGTAAATCTGAAATGTCCTTCCAATTGGGCTTGTACTGGAAGCCTCTCTTTCATTAGTTTATTATTTAGAGAGTAACTGTTCGTTACAGCAGACAGAGGTACTGTCACTTCTTAAAAATGAGAAATGAAATTTCCCTCTTGGAGAAACTTATGTGAATGGATATTATGCAGATAAATATGAATTATGTATTTACAAGTTGCCTTTTTAAATTCAACTATTGACTTCTGTCTCCCCTCCCTCTCTACCCCTCCCCTTTATATATCACAATAGCAGTATTCTCCATTATCCAGTGATGCTGAACTGATCTTTTTCTTCAGTGTTTGTTCATAATGGGGAACAACTGAAATGTCTTGCTCATGTAAGGTTGTTTTTAAAAAATGGCTATTTTTATCTTTTCATGTAGATTAACCTCATTGGAATTTAGTCAGTTTCTTCTCAAGGAATTAGTAATTCCATTCCACAGTCAATATTCTGCCACTAATGGCACTTAAAATAATTCAAGAATAAATGTTTGTATATATTTCTTTTCCTCAGAGCCATTGCTGCCGAATGCTTTCTAATGGGACAAAGAGAAGTAAGTCAACACAGTGTACTAAAATGAGTAATTATGAAATTCTATAAGACTTCTCATATCTTGGCTTTATCCAAAGCAATGGTCATCTGTAAACCCAAGATTCCTAGGTAGCTGAAATATTCTTGTTTATAAGCATCACAACATTTACCTCAAGTGTGAGAAATGTCTTTGACAGTCAAGGTAGAATGGATTGTATAATGAATGAGTACTTGGGCATACTGTTTCTGTTTATCTTTCCCTTACTGAGAGGGCTGTATTCTTCTCCTATTTGATTTGTTTTTAATTTTTTTTTTTTTTTACCTGGAGGAAATTGCTAGAACTTAAAATACAGTAGAGGGAAGAAAGACTTGCTTTGCTGAAAGATGCTAATGACTGTCTTTACAAGTAGATAAGAAAGCTGGAGAGGAACTTCTTACAAGGGCATGTAGTACTAGGACAAGAAGGAATGGCTTCAAACCAACAGGTTTAGATTGGATATTAGGAAAAATTACTGTGAGGGTGAGACACAAACAGGTTGCCCAAAGAAGATGCAGATACTTTATGCCTGGAAGTGTTCAAGGCCAGACTGGATGGGCCTTTGAGCAACCTGGTCTAGTGGAAGGTGCTCATGCCAGGGGATTTGTAACTAGATGATATGTAAGGTCCCTTCAAACCCAAACCATTCTTTGGTTCTGTGAAGTAGTTGGAAGAGTGGGTCTGCCAAATGAGTGTATGTAAAGAGTTTGAATAGTTCCTGACCACCCAAAAGACATCAGTTCTTTTTCTACAAAAATAACAAGGTTACTTACTGGTACTTAGGGAAGGGAAAAATAACTATATACAAATACAAGAGGTTTTTGGCACAGCAACTGAATCACATTTCAGTTCAAACAGAATGATCTTCCTGGTATTGCTGCTATCAAAATATTCTTCTGCCTGTGGAAGGATGCTATGTGTTTGGGGTTAGAGTTATCATGAGGGCCTAGATTTGTGACTCACCACTTGCTTGTGGTGTCTTTGAGCTAACTTCTTTGCTGTATCTTGTTTTGTGTCATTCTTTTAGTGACTTCTTAGCATCCGTCTTTTTTTGTCTGTGGTCTGTCTTTTGAATCCATGTTAAAGCTTAACTGATCCATAAGGGGTAGCATGGCTATTGTTAGACTTGCATATGAAATATTTTCTTTCCTTTTTTACTGTCCCCTAGAATGTTTAAGAAGAACATCCCCCAAGCAGAGTTATTTGGTTTGTAAGATCAAATAATTGAAAGTCAGGAGATATCAAAGGCATGGTTGCCTATTCAACCTTAATTCTGTCTCTGTGTTGGTTTGGTGTAATCTGTAATTAGTCACAGATCCCTGCTTCAGTCATTGTATTAGATGGACTACATCTTAAGGCACTGCCTATAGTGAGGCTGGTGACTGAAAAGATCCCTGAAAAGGCTGGTGACTGAAAAGATTTGTTTGGTTAGAAAAATATATTTTAAATGCATCAAAAAGAGGGCCTTTAAAGAAAATGAACCAATTAAAATGAAGGCATATGTGAAACATTGTAGCTGGATTACACCCAGAAGAAATCACATGGTTTTCTTCTGCAACCATCTCACTAACTATACGGCATGTGGTAAAATCACTTAAGAAGGTACACACAGTGCAGTTGGGGGTTTTTTGGGCGGGGGGGAGGAGGATCTTAGTTTGGGATGTAGTGAGCACTTAAAACTGTTTACACAAATCAGTGATTGTTCCAGATAACTAGATTTTCTAGTAAACAAGTAGGATATTGGTTTAAAATCGAATTGTGATTCAGATTCTGGATTTCCTGTTCCTGGAGAACCTGTCACTTGTTCTCTTCAGAGGTCACGTAAAGGTTTGTTAAAAGAATATAAAAATGGGTACAAGTATTTAAAATGCCAACAAATACCTCCCCTAATGACTGATTGAAGCTGGTACTTTAGATACCAGTAGTTGGAGACTTGAGTAAGTACTAGCATTAAATGTTTTGGTCCTCTATTTTGAACAATAAAATGGTAAAACCATTTTCTTTGAGAATTGCAAAAACTCAGACTGATTGTTAAAGTACACATAGAGGCTGAAAGAAAAAAACCCATGAAACAGTTATTTTTATTGCAGGATTGGGATGATATGCAATAAACAAGACCTTGAGACTACATATTGAGTGGTGAAAGAGAAATATTCAGTAAGCTGCTTCATTCTCTGAATGTGTTCCATCCTGTGCAATGAATGAGGCAAGAATCTTGTGAAGAAAAATACAATGTACTCATGTAACTAATCATGTTCATACAAGGGTCAGAATTAAGGTCAGACATAAACTTGCCTTTGCTTTTAGTAGCAATTTAATGCTTTACCTCAAAAGTATTTTAAAAATTATTGCAAGAGATTTTTGTGCTTCAAATCATTCATTTTGAGTGCATGAAATTGTGCTGACTTTTAATACTTGCCTTTATTTTGCAGGTCCATCATTTATATCAGAGAGCCCTTCAGAAGTTACCTCTATGTGCAACACTGTGGAAAGATGTAATGTTTTCTCCTTATGATTCAGTTTGAGGTTTCATATAAATTTTCTGCATATCCCATATCCATAGATGTGGTGATGCTCAGGCTTTGGCTAAATCTTATATCTGCTTCCCCCTCTCTTTCAGCAACTCTTGTTTGAAGCATCAGGAGGAGGTAAAACTGATAACCTGAGAAAACTAGTTTCCAAGTGCCAAGAGGTTGGAGTCAGCCTAGATGAGCTTTTAAATTTAAGCACTTACAGAACAGAAAACAAGAATTACTGAACACTCAGTATGGTCAGCCATAAGTCCTATAAAATGCCAAAATCAGTTGAATGGTTCTTCAGGCTGATCCATGTCCTAAGATCTGTGTAAGGCAGATGAGTATTGCTGAGCATATCAAGTCTCCGATCTGCTTTCCTTGAACCTGGAAGCAATTAACATGACCACCTTCTGGAAACATGAACTCCCTGTCTGGCCTTGCTTCTGGGCCCTGCCAGATTCTCATAACGTCATCTACGTAAGTATAGTTAATCAAAATGACAGACTTTATTTTTTTATGTTTTCTTTTTATTTACTATTTTCTTTGTTTTGCTGTTCCTGATTCACTTGACACTCTCGCTGATGCCTGAGAGATATGTGTTTCGGATTAATTTACTGGGCTGTGTTTACAGTAAAAAGCAAGTAGTCCATTTTGGGTTTTTCCTTTTTTAAACCTTTTTTGAGACTTTTTCATTACAGGATTTAAAACAAAAGCAGCCGCTCTTAAGGAAAGTGTAACTGCCGTGGCCACAAGTATGCTTCTTGCACTTGAAGGCTCTAAGAGGGTTGCTTACTGCCCTTTTCTGCATTGGACTCATGGCAGAGACTATTAAACTTGAAGATTAAAGAAACTATTGCAAATGCCAGTGCATCAGAACCTAAGAGTGGTCAATTATGTGCAATTTTTTGTAAAGAAATTTTAATTTATAATAAAGTTTAACAGTTTAAAGAAAAATAATACTGATCTGTTTTGTTTTGGTACTACCTTGGGGTATTACAGGTGCTTTCACAGAGATAATCTCAATACAAGCTGACTTCTCAAAAAAAAATCTGGTGTCTTTTTTAATTTTGATCAAAAGGTAGGCAAACGTGGTTGAGCTGCCTATTGTGGATGTAGAATAACTACATCCCTTGTTTGTTTTTTTTTTTCATCCCCTTGCCTCAGGTACACAGATGTTTGTCCCATAATGACTATACCTATCAATAATACCACTTCAGTAATGGGAAATGCATTTTATATTATCCTTTTTGCCTTAAATGAAATGAGGCCCACTTTGCAAAGTTGCTCCATGTACATTGCAGAGAGATGCTGTCAGCCCGCTGAACCAGTGATGAGCCTGTTCACATCAGGTTGGCTTTCCACCTGTTTTTCCACCTGTGCAGAATCATATCAAAAGATGGTTGTAGTACCTATTGCATAGATGATTTATGAAGATGCCAGTAAATGGGTTGGTTTTCATGTTTGAGGCAAAGTGGTTTGTGACGTACAGCTTCCAGCAGCTTTCAAACCCCTTACTTTAGCTCAAGTTAAGCATGCAGACTACAAAACCGGTATCAGAAAAGCTGACTCAAACCTGTTCTTCGTTGTAGTGGGGTAGTATCTTGGTTTTTTTCCACACTTATGTAGTATGACACAGACCACAAAAGTGCAATACTTAATTTTTTTAAATTAAAAACCCCTCAAGTTTGGTAAATGCTGGCTTATATCACCCAAATATTTTTTTGTAATTTGTCTTTAAAACTTTGCAGATAAACAGGTATTTTTCTGCAGCAGTGTTTATTTTAGTGGGATACCATTTTACCTATTCCACTATTAGAAATAGAAAAGGTGTCAAGGGTTACAGCGCTTTTAAGCTGCCCTGTGTGTTCCTTACCTTGGGCTTGTCTTACACTTAGGGCTCTTAACTTTGTGACCTTTCTTGCCTTGCTGTACCGTGACTTTATAACAAAAGGCCTCATGGCTTTTCCTGAAGAGACCTTAAGCTTTACATTACTATCAAGGATTAATCATGGATACACTACCTTAATGGCTTCTCACATAGCTGAAGATTAGGGCAGGGGGAACCAAAAACCCACAGTGTTCTGGCTTACACTGGCCTTAATCCATATTGTTTTGATTAAAATACTCATAGTTTATTAGTGTGGCCTTTTGACCCAATTTTGCTTGATGGTATATGGAAGTGGCTAACCATAATGGGAATTGTTAATGTAGGAGCTGACATGAAGAAATATGAAGAAGCTGTATAATTTTTAGAGCAGCACAAGCATTTTCTTTCACCAGGCAAGAAATAAAATGCACTGCTGGGTAATGTAGAAGTGCCAGGAAGAATTTAGTGCTTCCACAGGTCTGCACTTACCATGGAATCCTCTCTAGGCTTTGGTATTCTCACAGCTATAAAGAGGGATTTCTGTTTCTGAAACAAAAAAGGGGCTTTCTATCTAGCATTTGGTAAACTTAATTCTTCACCAGGAAGAATGGAATTTACCAAAGGTATTAATCTACATATTAGTCTTTCAAATTAGTGATCTTTCCTAAGAACTTCTATAAGAAATTTCTGATTATGAGCAATAGTGGTGAAGAACTGGGAATAAAGGATAACTCCAGTTAATCAAGCAAACTACTAGCAGCTTAAGAGGAAAAGGAACTTTAGGGGGAAAGTACAGTAATTTTTTTGTAAAACCATTCTGTGCTCAGAAGGGTTACTTTATGAATAGGGATTTGATTATTTGGTCTTTAGTTTAAATCTTTCTGTAAATAAAGTCTACATTTTTAATAGTACTGCACCAAACTATTCCCACTAGAGTATTCTTAATTTTCTGGCTCTTGCAAAGATGACACAGTATTGAACAAAACCTTCAGCTGCATTTATTAGGAAGAAAAATAAATGGAAATTATTGTTTGTTTTAGTTAGTAGATTCAATGAAGACCTACATGAAGATAATCTCTTTTGGTATTAGTCATTTTACTGCTTATCCAGATCAGGTTCTGGGATGGCATGCTGTTTACTTTTCACAAAAGTTGCATTTCAGCCTCGCTTTGTTATAGATGTACAAAGTGAGGGTATGTTTTAAGTGCAGAGGGAAGCAACAAGGGGAGGTAAGCAGGAAAGTTTTAAAGAATTGCTTAGGTAAGAAATTTAGATAGAAAGGTTACCACTGCCCTGCTGCCTTCCATAAGTCTTGGTGTTCACCTGCACACAGGGGACAGCTGGTGCTCTTACATTCTTACAATTAGATTCACTACCAGGCGACGTACCTGACAATCTGTAAATGAAACAGTTTTCACACTGTGACTTACAAACAGTTCTTTTCACTACTTCTAGAAATAACTTATTTTCATTGAATTGCATTAATTTCACTTTCAACATGCTGCTTGTGTTTGAGGCCCTTGGGCTGCCTCTTACCAAATCATAAATAATAGAAGAGCATCAACCTGCTCTTACTGCCTGGGATTGTGTGGCAGAACCCTGTGATGTCCATTTCCCTTTACTTACATGATTCTTCAATTCATCTAAAAGTTTCTTAAGGGGAAAGGAAGAGGGGAACAAAGGGAAGTGCAGAATCTTGTGCTGAGGGAGAAACCTGTACAGCCTGGAAAGAGCTTTGCAGTAAAGGACCCGGGAGTCCTGTGGACAGCAAGTTGAACATGAGTCAACAATGTTCCCGTGTGGCAAAGGTGGCTGCCACCCTCCTGTACTCCCTTAGGAAGAACGTACTCAGCAGGTCAAGGAAGGTGATCCTTCTCACCAGCACTGATGAAGCCACACGTGAAGCAATGCATCCTGGAGCACCCCACATATATTGAAAGGCTGGGACTCTTCAGCCTGAAGAAGGCTTGGGGGAAGTGCTTACCAATGTGTAGAAAAGGATATAAAGAGGACAGAGCCAAGCTCTTAGTGGTGCCCAGTGGTAGATCTAGAAACATTAGGCAAAACTGAAATGTGAGAGGTTCTGGCTGAATATCGGAAACGGTTTTTTTACTGTGAAAGTGACTGAGCACTGGCCCAGGTTGGTCAGAGAGGTGGTGGAGACATTAAAAAGCTGCCTGGGCAACTGGCTCTAGATGGCCCTGCTTGAGCAGGGCATTGGAGCAGGTGATTTCCAGAGATCCCTACCAGCTTCAGCCATTTTGTGATGCTGTTATATTCCTGGTGTAGGTAAATCTGTGTGCTTTTGACACCTTTGTCTTATCAACCTCACCTGCTCCTTAATTGTCTCCATGCTCTTTTAGTCAAGTGCAAAAAGCATAGGGCCAGGCCAGCAGTCTTGGTCCTTTCCTGTCATCTCTGGCTCAGGCAGAGTTGTGAGCATGTCATCTTTTGCACTTGGGACTAACTTTATAAATGCTTCTTACCTTAGTATATACAGTAGCTGAAGAGCTAGCTATGGACTTCATAGTTTCTTTAATGCTTTTATTGAGGTGCTGCCCCACTGGACACCTTTTGTTCTATATAGTCAGTACAGTGATTGCTGATAGAGACTTCCTGCCCAGTTTTATTCATTCTGGAGACAGCCGATGCCTTCAATGAAAGTTGTATTGTAGTTTTTTTATTTTAGCTTTTACTTAGATGATTGGCAGAAACAAAAAGTAGGTGGTTTAAACTGAGAAGACTAAGGAGGTGTTGATCTTGTAAGGGAGGTGGTTCAGACCTTTCCTCATCTCTGAGAGGGCCAGGTGTAGAACTGGCTTGCCTTCAAAATCCTTCAGGCATATTCTTTGTGCATCTGTACTGCTGCTGCTGTGCTCAGTAACTGCTACTTGAAGGGAGTAGCTGGCTTCTCAAAGTAACAATATCCTGCCAAACATTAGAAATTCACATCATCTTCAGAGGAGCTAAGTGAAAAGGGGCAGTGAAAACTTCCACATCGTGCAGCTTTCCCAAAGAGCCTAATTACAGCTCAAGCCCCCAGACATCCATTGGTCTGTGGTACTGTCTTGCATGTATACCATGTCCAGCTGGATGCTTCCACAGTATCCAAGACTGAGATTGTGTTAATAATGAAAGACGGGTGCTTTTGTCTCTATTCAGGAAGAATCCTGGATTTTACTACAAATGTTCTGTGAGATGGGTTTGTGTCCCCAAGGCTCCAGAATGCTCATCATAGAATCACAGAATCATTAAAGCTGGAAAATACCTGCAAGATCATCAAGTTCAACCTTTGACCTAATACCACCCTGCCCACTAAACCATATTGTGAAGTGCCAAGTCCAGTCATTTTTTCTGAACACTTCCAGGGATGGTGACTTCACCACTTGCTGGAGAGCCTGATTCTCTTCTTAAGCTGGTCAGATCCCAACTAAGCCCCTTCCTCCTCACAGATAATTTGAGTTCACATCCCATTAAATGTCATTCAGAATTACAGGGCAATGAAGTTTCTATTTTATGTCAATAAACAAGAAGCCTGATCACCCAAATTTGTCATGGAATAATTCAGCTGAGGGATGAGTCATCTGATCAGCCTTTTAGCATTGTGAGCTGACTTCTTCCATATGAACGTGGAAACGCAATCTGATTAATAATGTCATTTATTTCCACTAGTAATATTTCTTAGGATTTCAAATATAAGGTTCCCAAGCAATGGTCGGCTAGTAAAACCAATTGCAAACCCATTTCTCTTTGCAGTTTTATGTTGATGATTCTGGTCACATCTCTGGTAGACAGCTTTCTGTGCTTTGGTTTTGTCTTTTCCCCTCCCAATGGCCATTATCTTCCTGAGCTGTTGTGTAACAAACTGAACTCCATCGTCTTGGGTCCACAGAAAATCACAGTCTGTTTTAGTGATGCTGATTTTGGTGAATAGGGAGAGTGTGTGATATTTACATTGTTTTAGGAATGCAGAATTCTTAACAAATTGCCCGTAATCAAGCCCATTTATGTTTATGGAGTTTCCCTGTCAGTTCTTAAAACCCGACTTTCAGCTTCTGGCTAATAAAGTATTTTATTTCCTTGGTGC